GAAAATAGGCAAGGTATACCCTAACTGTTGCGGGGTTTAGGGTTTCCCTCACCGAGGTGGTGAAAGGACGCTGCGGTGCTCCTGCCTGGTGTTGCCTCTTGCCTTTCCTCTTCTAGATCAAGCCCGGCTATATGGCTGGTAGTTTACAGTCACCCGTGACCCGAATCTGGCGAAGTGGCCCCCGGATTTCGTCGTTTCGCGCCCTTTAGCTGCTTTGTGAAAGCGCCTGTTTCCTGAAGCTGTCAGAGCCGAAGTGGAGGCAAAGGGAGAGGCCCTGAAGACAACTCGCCTCCCAGGCGTCCGAGTCCAACGACTCCAGCGCCAGCTTCTCGACCTGGCTCTTCCACGTCCCCGTCCCCGTCATGACAGAAGCCTAGAGAAGTTCCTTCAGGTCAAAGAGCGGGCGGGGCCTCTTCGGCATGATATCGACCAGCTCTCATGGCCTGCGAAAGCTCTCTGCCCTCTAGGCCGCCACCTCAGGAGCCCCTAAACCCAAAAAGCTAGGAGAGAGAGCCAAGGCCTCGATCAGCACCTCGAGGGATCGCTCCCGCGTCAGGCCTCAGTTGAGGGCCGGGGAGGAAGAAACCACCTTTTTGGGGTTCCTTGAAGGGGACCTATAAGGGTAGTATAATGGGTTAGTTCTCCACATTAGGGGTCCCGTTTAGGGTCAGGTAACAAGAGCACTGACATCGAAAACAGAGAGAGAGAGAGAGAGAGAGAGAGAAAGACACAGAGACAGACATCGCTGCAGCTCATTGAAACCACAGGCGATGGCGTAATTAGGATATTAGGGTGGTGAGCAGGAACACGTGCAGCCTAGAGACTCTTACACTACAGCACTTCAGAGCTGAGTGGGACTCACGTCGACCCCCCCCTCGTGAGCTATGCAACCTGCATTCAGTCTGCCAAGGTCTGCGACTTCCGGGAGAAAAAAACCCGCACTCTAGGTCCCATGCTCTTGAAGTCGCGCAGTCCCTCGAAGACCTGTCGAGGACAAACTCTCGTGTAATCCACTCCTCTCCTTGAGCTCCGAAGCCTCCGCTGCTGATCCTTCACCTCGAGTGTCAGACAAAAGTCTGAAGCGACCAAGGCAAAGGGTTTAGGAAGTTTAGGGTTATTTATATAATAATTATAGGGCTTAGGGTCCACAGTGCCTTCCACGAACGTCATGGCCGCCAGGAGCGGCTGCGCTCGAACTTCAGCACTTCGTTTTGGCTGTCTTCACGTTGTGCGCTGAATAGTACTTTGAGGTTGATGTGGTGACTGGAGGCTTGAAGGATTGAGCTTGCAGAATACGCTTGCAAGTTCCATGCCGCTTGATCCCATGTAAGCTAAACACCGGCAGGAGATTCCAGGAAGCCTGCACTTGCTTCCCTGCCGCCCTGCTGCATGGCCTTGGGGCGAAATGGGTCCCCGTGGCTCCCACTCCGGGCTGCACCACGGCTGGCACGGGCGTCCAGGAAGCAAGCGGTGCCTACACATCGCAGTTTTTGCATGTCCCATGCCATCCCGGGCCTGGTGATATCCGGGCCCCGGGCCTTGACTGGCGTGTCAGAGAGCTGCGCGATGTAGGAGCTCAGGCCCTGTCTTCTCTCGACTCTCTTGCCGTCTCTTGCTTCAGAAGTCAAGGCAGACAGAAATTTTCGACGGGGTGTTTCAGAGAGCTCGGAGCTCTCTCTCCTTCAAGGACTCGCGGATGCCGCTCCACTGATCCTGTGCCGCAAAGCAAAGGGGGGGTGAAAACCCCGGGCGGGGAATTTTGTCGGAAAACTTGGAGCGGCCTCGGCCGCCAAGGCCTCGGCCAGCAGGGCCCCTGAAACAGGAAAGTTCATATGCCATACACCGCTTCCGCGCTCTCTTTCTGTGTCTTCCTTTCAACTGCTGCTTCGTTATCTGCTGTCCTGTGCCCAGGCCGGGCTTCGTCCGAGACGCCTCCGAGACGGAAGAGCACGGGACACTTGCGACCATCTTCAGGAGGCTCCCCCCGGGCGGGGCGCCTTGGAGACGCTGGGCTCCGTGGGCTTCGGAGTCGGCGGCTTCGGATTCGGCGCTCGCTGCTCGCGCCTGGGCCTGCGGCCTCCCAGCACGGAAAGGGAAGAGGAGGGAAGAGAGGGGCAGTGAATCGGCTAAAAGCAGGCCTGCAGACCGGCGATTCTCCTGCTGCCCCTGCCCCTTCCAAAGGGAAGGGCTATGTTCAAGTACATAGAAGGGAGTCCGAGAGTCTAAGCTGCTGGCCGAGCGCCGTATGAGCCGCCCTCCCGAGCAGAGCACACCACATATACAAGTCCCTGAAGTTGAAGTGGAGGCCTCCCAGTCGCGAAGAGAGCTCGGAAGTGGGATTCCGGACCTTTCACGGAGCCAGGGCTATTTACTCGGAAATGCAAAAGGAACCCAAGGCCGGCCCTGAAGCCCCCCCTGCCTTCTCGGTGACTCCTGTCCGCGGAGATGCAATGACATACAAATCGAAGGGTGTGCCATTCCGAAGGAAGGCCCAGAGTTTTGTGGCGTGGCGGCGTGTTTCCCCATGCAGCGCCTTCGCCCATGAAGAGGGCTTCCTCAGCCATGGTCACCTCGAAACTCTCAGAACAGGAAGGGGTCGGCTGAATCGGCTGAAGGGACGCTGTGAGACGCTTTTTGCCCGGCTTTTTTTCTTGGAGTCTCTTGGCGCGGCCCTCGCAAGGGCGAAAAGGTTTGTGCAAGGGTCCGCGGCGAAACTTGCCGCCGCTTAAATTTCTGGGGGGTCTCTCACCTGAGACCCAGCTGTCCTGGCAGGAAGACCAGGAAGGTCCCGAAGGCCAGGAAGCCGAACAAGTAGAGCAGAGTCTTGATGCCCTCGCCATCCTCATCCCCTGCAGCTTTCAGATATAATGTATATAATAGGCTCAGATTTAAAGAAACGCCTAAGTATAAGTTAATCGAAGGCTCAGGGAATCCGCTCCTTAAGTCGGAGCTCGGCTCTCAGCCTCAGCCGAGTCGCCTCTGGCCTGTTCGATGGCCGCCTTCTTGTTGAGAGCTTCTTGCTGGGTTTTCATGTCGCGCCACCAGTTCTTTTCCCACTCGGTGGCTCCCATCTCCTGTATACGACAAAAAAGCTCTCTCCCCCCCGGTTTCCCCATATGACACGAGTCCTCGGGGTTGATGTCGCTGCCATCATAAGCTCCCCCAGGTTTCACGCTGGGCTTTGAGTCGCCTACTTGCAAGCAGCGGTTGAGTGCAGGAGGCGCCTTGGCTTGCTTTGAAGACCCTGCCTAAGAAGTCGAGGTCGGGGAGCAGCTTGAGCAAGGCCACCGCCGCCGCGAGGAGGACAAACAGCTTCGAGGCACGAAATCCTTACAGGCGACGATCTCACTTGACGGTGGCTATAGCTGTGTCTCGCAGACCCCGAGGACTTGGAAACGCTTTTTCCTTTGCGGACAAAGCTCGCATCGCGTCTTAGTTCCAGGTGGAAGCGACGGCTGCGTGTCCCTTCTTAGAGCCCGGTAGTTGCGGTTCATCACACCGTGCAGCACCATTCTACGGCACCAAGACAGATCGATAGAGCTGCGCAGACATCATGAGCTTCCTCTTTTGAGGTGGCTGCCAACACACCCGGTGATGGAGACCGCGCTGCGGCTGTAAGAGAAGCGAGAGGTTCTCTGGCCTCACACGAAGGCAAGCAAGGCCGCGGCAAAAAAAGACTCAAACGAGGGCTGCGCCAAGCCCGTGAGAAACTCCTCAATGATGTCCTTCCAAGACCGTGCTTAAGCGCATATAAAACATGCAACGATGACAGGGCGCCAATGACATTGTCGAATGCTTTTGGCGACGTCGCAGAGCCTCGCCTCAGCCTGCTCACTGCGCTCAGCCTGGGACAACTTTTTAAATCGAGCCGGACTCCGACAGGAAAATGCCCATCTGTATAAGCCCTATATAGTTAAGGTGCGGGCTCGGGGCCTCACCGACTTCTCCTCGCCGGGTCATTGTAAGGCTTATAGCTTGCAAGGCTTAATCGAGAGCCGGACTCCACTTCCACTGAGATCGAGGCTGCCGAGGCTCTCGGAGTCCTTGCCCGTGCCGGGCGAAGACGTGAACGCGCCCTGGCGAGGAGGCAGCAGGGCTTTTATGCGCTTTCTTCTCTGCACCCAGGGAACTTCTTGAACCGTGCCAGGCAGGGCGTGTTGCCAGTGAAAGCCAGGACCGCTGAGTGGGAACGGCCGGCGGCCACGGCGACCTCGACAGACATCGGGCCCCCCTATACCGTACTTATACTATGAATCCCTATACGGTATATGAACCCTAAACCCTTTTAGGGTTCATTTCGTCCCCGAGGTATTGTAACTGGAAGCCCCTTCTCGTCTGGTATGTTTTCTCCGAGTCGAGTCGTGGGCGGCGCGGTGAGGCGATGGCGGCGAGAAGTCGCCGAGCTTCAAGGGCCTGCGGCCCGCGAACATACCGCGTCCGCGTCCTGTAAGCCCCCGGTTTCGGTTCAAACCGGTTATAAGACCTATAGTACATTCCAGCCCGAAGTTAAGGAGGGATTGTGAGCCGTCTGCTCAATGTAGGCAGTGGGGTTTCGGCTTCCGTGTTGTGCTCCGACTTACATCCACAGGTCTCCATGGATTCATGGAAACAGCCGAAGCTTGGAGAGTCAGGCAAGGAAAGGAAAGAGATATGTGACAATTTGCAATGCTTGATACTGTCCGGTGCATGCTGAAAGTCCAACCCTGAAACTCTGAACTGGCAGCTGCCACGTCGCGCCTGGCTTGCGACTCAAAGGCGGCCTCAGGCAAGCTGGAATTGCCCGGCACTTGCAGCCGAAAGCTTGGGCTTTGACGTTAGGTCCGCACTGCCTGGCAACGCAGCTGACTCATTTCATGGGCAGGCCGCCCCTTTGCCCTGCATCGAGTCAAAACCTTCTCAAGAGCAGCGAAAGACAACGAGGGAGCCTGCAGATGGCAAAACCGACATTACAGCGGAAGCGTGACCGGCTCTACCCCGAGGAGGCGCAGCCCCAAGCCCACACCGTCGCCTGCGGAGAGGGCCAGCGCTCGGGGCATCTATGCCAGGGCTGCCAGTGGGCGCCATGGCCTGGCTGTCGGCAGGGTCGCCGTCCGTCTGGGTCAAGCAGATCACATGGTTGGTCCCGCTCGCCACTGCCGTGATGACCTCACGATCGGAGAGCACACCGACAAGGTGGCCTTTTGCGGCTACACAAAAGCCTGGCGCCTCGTCTTCTGCCAGGGGGATCTGGACGGAGACGGGGGTGAAGGCCTGGCTCGCATCGATCCCGAGCTGTCCGTACTGGTTGCCACCTCCCAAGCGCAAGGACGACAGGAGCGGTGGCAGGGGGACAAAAAAGCTGCGGAAGAGCGGGGCCCGCGCCGCAAGCGAAGAGCTCCTCCCCGGAGTTCACCACGAAGAGGCTGAAGTTGGCCCCTCAGCCAGACGACAGCTCTCTCGGAGCTCCCATAAATATACGCGCGGGGGAGATCTCGGGCAGGCCCTGCACTTGCGTGGCCCTCTTTTTGGGGTCTCGGCCAGCGCTGGCCGCGCAGACGGGCTTCGCCAAGTCGACCTCAGCAGAGAGGAGGGCCCCAAAAAAACCGAAGGGAATCACAAACACCAGCGATGGACTGCCGTTGCCATTGCCACGGCCCTTGCAAAAGCTTGGGCGCCGAACTCGCTGCGGGCTGGGCCGCTTGCAAGCGCCACCAAGTCCAAGCCTGGAGCTTGGGACCCGACGCGTCCGGGCCGCCCCAGCCGCAGTCCCAGAGCCTTCCGCTCCCGCCGTGGCCCCAAGCGAAGGCGGCGCCTCCCCGAGGGCGAGAGAGGCACCAAAGCAGAGCCGAGGGCTGCACTGGCTCCTGTGGCATCCCAGGCGAGAGAGTGACACGCGCCGGCCGCAACACCTGCCGGGTGCTTTTCGCAGGCGAGGCGAGCGGCGAGGGGAAGAGACACCCCAGGAGCCTACCGGCCTACCGCCATGGCTGATGACGGAAGAGGGATCGCTGCGGTTCCACCTGCGGCATGGGCTTTGGCACAATCTCATCTCCTCACGGGGAGCTGCGCGCTTTTTTCAGAACATGCGCAGCGCGCACCAAGACCTTTTGAGTTCTAGAGGCAGTGCCACACGAGTTACAGCAAACAGATCGGGTGAGAAGGAAAGTGGCCTTGTCACTTGCGGCCCTGTGAATTGGAGTGTTGAAAGTTCCTCCACCCGCCGTTCCAGAAATATCACTCGCCCTTCCAGTAGGACCAGTGCGTGTTGGGGTTCGGGCTGCAGGTCTTGCTCTGTCCCACATTGCTGGGGATGGGCCGGCCCAGTTCTCGGGCCAGCTCTTCCAGGCATGGCTGCATCCGGATGTCCATTTTAGTCGGGAACTCCTGATGTCCTGTTTGAACGAACCGAGCGGTTCCATGGACATTCGGATGCAGCCATGCCTGGAAGAGCTGGTGTAGAATTTTTTGACCTCTGCAACGACGGCGCCTTGTTCTCGGGTGTCTGTGGCCACACGTGGAGGAGGTGCAGATGGAGTCGCACGGTTTCGCGCGGCAGCCCTTCTCTCTGGAGCGCCGACGGCTTCTTGCCTTGGATTGCCGTCACGTGCTGCATTTCGAGTCGAGTATGTTGCTCCTTCTGACAATTGAGGCAAAGGCCTCCTTGAGGCCGTCAGAGGCGTTCCGGATCACGGAGGTGTTCCCCCTATCCATGGCACTAATGTCAACTATCCTTGAGCTGAAGTCCTGCCCTGCTGGACCTCGCGCTTGGGCAGAGACAACACACTCATGCCCGGAAGGAATCTCCCTGGTGGTACACCGCGCTTCTTCTGAATTACACTGCAATTCTTCACGCTAGCAGTCAAAAAGCCACATCCGTAGTATGTCACCCTTCTGCTTAGTACACGCAACTGCCGCAGTCGCTTCTGCAGTCTCCAATCGTGTTTGTGTACACATGCTGACGGCTCCCTATGTGTGGGGGATGTGCGTTGGTAGACACATGGTCAGAAAGACAGGGTCGACAGATCGATCGATAGACTAGACGAGACATTAGATTAGCTTGGCTTGGCTTGGATTATAGATTATAAACAGATCGATCCATATAGACATGTCTGTATGTCCACATGTATGTAAACACATGTATGTATATTTTACCGTAGATAGCCCCAAGTTCACAAAAGCAGAGTCCGCCTCCGGAGCCGGCGCACTGGCCGAAGTCGTCGTCGCCCAGCGCAAAGATGCAGCCGGCCTCCGTCAAGAAGAGGACATGCCTCCACCCGGCTGCCACCTCTGCAGGACCAGGAGCTGGCTTTAAAGGGTTTAAAGGGCTTTGGCTTCCAGTTTTTTGGGCGTCTCTCCGTCGGCTGGGCCTGCGCCACGCGCGAGGCCGGCCCGCCCTGGGCAGCACCTGAGCGGACTCCACTTTGCGGTGCGAATTTTGGCGATTGTGGCGACGTTGGCGACGCGTTCTTGCGCGAGAGATCCGAGGGGCCCCAGACGTGGCGCAGCTGGCCCGGGTCCTCGGAAGGAGACTGCGCTGGGCTAGTATTGGCTTGGGCATGCCAAAGATAAGCTCTTCTCGGTGCCGAGCACCACCCGGTGGCCAAAGGCCGCCGAAGAGAAAGACTTCCCCCTGCCGCGTCCTCAGCTTAAGTAGCATTAGAATAGGGTTTGGGGGCGTTCTTCAGCTACATATATAGGAATATTCCTATATGTTTATTAAAGGCGAGGCGTCCCGAGGCCCCTGCACGAAGGAATTGGATCCTGAGATGCGGGGGGTGCCGAACACCTATCTATCCATCCATCTGTCTGGGCTAGGGGCAAAGGGCTTACTCCCACTGTCTATCTCTCTCTCCCTTGCTTGCTTGCTTGCTTGCTTGCTTGGGGTATGAGCCCCTACTGGAGCTCTGGCCCGAAGGCCTACCCCCTTGGCGCGCGTCTGTCAGTCGGATAGGCTCCTTTTGGGGAAATGCTGCATTCCCCTGAGTGTACCTCTGACTGATCCCCCAAAAAACACATCTCTCTCTCTCTCCCTCTCTCTGTCTCTCTCTCTCTCTCTCTCTCTCTCTCTCGCTCGCTTTCTATCTACCTATTTATCTATCTGTCTATCTCTCTCTCTCTCTCTTCCT